CGTGCGATAGACAACCGAAACGGACGTACGTAGGCGCAAAAGAGACGGGGGCGAGCTTGCCTCCGTTTACTGGTGGGGACGGGTGCCAGGTCTTAACCCCTCAGAGGGACGCCTCGGACACCTGTCCCAGTATACAGTACCTGCCGCCTAGTGCGTACCAGGTACTGTACGCCATTAAAAAACTAGCGCCTCAATTCCTAATTACCGCGCGGACGCTGCAGCTACACGTGTGTACTACTGTACACACGCGCTGCTTACAGACTACCGCACGGATGCCACGTGTGCTAGCGTACACGCGTCATACTGGTAGACTACCGCTTGGCCGACACGTGCACTACTGTACACGTACGCCACATTACGACCGCTCGGCACGCGCGCGCTCCCTACACGTGGGCACACCCGCCCACGTGTCCACCGTGCACGGCCACACTGTTAATAATCTCCCCGCGCGCGCGTCCGTCGTTATACTAAAACTCGCGAGCATGCGCGAGCGGATCTCACGATGCTGGCCAATGTAGTCGTGAATGGAGACACCGGGGCGAAGGAGGGTTTGTTTGGCCAGAGCGGAGAGAAGATAAGGAGCGTTGGTGGGGTTGGTGGGAGTAAGGCTGAGGAGGCGTGTGCATAACCCAAAGGGCGAGAGGCGAAGGTCCTCTTTGCTGAGGCGGATTCGGATGTCGTTAGAGCAGCTGTTGAGAATGAGAGCCTTGGCGTAAGCAAAGAGCTTGTTGTGTTTGAGGAGGACGTCCGCTTGGGTGGGGGCGGGAGCATCAGCTGTGAGGAAGTGGGCACAGTCATTAAGGGAACAGAGGAGGTTGAGATTTTCGGACCATAGGTCGTAGTTGTCAAATGTGAGCGGGACTACGGACAGTCGGGCAGGATCGGTGGAGGAGTTTGGGGCCGCAGTGGATGCCGCGGTTGGGGGAGGGTTCATAGCTGGGGATTCAAGAAGGACTTGAGCGAAAAGGTCTTCAGGGAGGGTGCAAAGTTCGTCCTCGCGATCAGCAACAAGGCGAAGTTGGGCTCGGCGCTGGGCGCGGTCGGAACGGGAGGAAGGAGGATCGATGGTGGGGGAAGTATCGGCG